ATACAATTTCATTGCCAAAAAACCTTATTGACCAATTGTTCACACACTTTTTTTTTGGCTCAATCAAAGTGAAATTTCATTAGGCATCCAAAAGTAGGATACATAAAGGGCTATCATGAGCTAGATAAAAGTAAAAAAAGTAGGTCCAAATGGACTTAGCCAAGAAACAAAACAAAATGCTTGGTAAGATTCACCACTATACTCATAGCAAAAATACAAAAAAAAAAAGTATATGCAGAGGACTCTATATATCACACACACACACACTGAAAAATAAATCTATCACATGCCAACTAGTAGAATGATTATGGACTTTACTAATTCTAATATCCTCGAGCCATTAAGGAAATTAGTTGGTCAAATACCTAAGGATTTTACAAATATCGTCATCAAGCTTTGCTTTTAATTTTCTTGAATCTTCATGGCGCTTTGGGATCTCCATCTTAAAGTTACAAAAAATTTTCTTATCTAACCTTAGTTTTATACTTTGACATAACTAATTACATTTTATAATAAAAAATCCTCGAATTACATTCGAGGGGAGTTAAGTGAGAAAAGATGTTTACAACTCTAGAGAAAATGACAATAAGGAAGGGTACGCAGACCTTATTTCAAAATAAATATCATGAGAAATAAATTTAACCATCCATGACCTAATCTTCTAAAGTCTAAATCCGTAATCATACTCATGCTTTATAATCACAATCAAAAGCATAGAAATAAATGCAAACTCAATATCAATTGGTGATCTTGTGTGTTATTTGAGAAAAGCATTAATTAACTTACTTAAAGTGCTTGACTCAAAATATTTGGTGTTGTTTTATTTCAATATAGTGTTTAAGAAATTCCCATTTTCCAAACAATACTTAAAGTAAACATTTTACTCTTGCTTAAATAGAAATCCATTGAAGTAAAATTTTCAATTTTAAGACTTTCCATAATAAAAGGAGTTTTAATTTTGGAAACCTCTTTATTTTAGGTAAGTTTCCTAAAATGTATCTAAGACTGCATTTTAATTTTTAACATTTAGAACATCGATTAGTTTCTTAAATTGTATTTTGTTCAAACTACATAAATGATGATTTAACAAATTTTGAAACTTCAAGTCCAACCAAAATTTTAAAAAAAGTTCAATACTATCACATAATTTTTTGAATTTATGCTAAAGAAGGAAGCTATTTCCTATGAATTTTTCAAATTAAAATGCTAATCTTAATTTTAGAAATTTCTTTTAAAGTAAGAAATAATTTTCTATTCATTATGAATCACCCAAAATAGGAATTCTATCCTTAATTTAGAAATTCACTTTAAAATAAGTAACAATTTCTTACTGTTTATGAATCACCCAAAATTAAAATAGATAGTATTTAAGTACTCTTCAAACTTCATAAATCATGAGTCAAATTCATGAACAAAGCTGTTGGGGAAATTTTCAATAAGTGTGTTTAACAATTAAACACAAAATTCATGGAGAATTAAGCCACCAAAATCAATCACAGTTGTCCAAAATTTTACACATTGAGTCTTTGTTGTTTTGGAACTTGAAAACTTGGTTTTTATGAACCTTTTCATACTAAATTCAGTCTGATTGAAACATGTAGTAATTTAATTCGATAAAACTAATTTTTAATGATTTAAACAACTACTTATAACACTTGCCCAATACTAGCAAAAATAATTAGCACATTAGTCTGCAAAATACCTCCAAATTATTTGATTTTAACTTGGCTTTGTAAACCTTTTAATCCATTCATTAATTCTTCGACTAAATATAATTTTAAACTTTTTAAAAACATGCTTTAATGAATTACTAACATATTGTCTAGATTTGAATTAAAACTGAAAAATAAAATTTTAAAAAACCCTTAAAAATCTATATATTCTAAATCAACACACAGATCAATCCTATTGATTATCTCCAAGAATCAAGCACACAAATTACATAGAAAACATCAAACAAAGGGTCTGCTACCACTACCGAGATTCGATCTCATTCTCAAACACAAAATTAATCATGAAATTAAAAATATAACACAATAAAAAAATAAAACATGCATTTAATCAAAGAAACAGCTGAATCCCACAAGATTAATGTTTGTGTTTATTATGTAGTTTTCAAATTAATTATGAACATTTATAAGTTTAAGTGTTACATACATTGCTCTAGATATCGTAAACAAGAACCAATTAAATCAAAAAGGGTTTGTAATGAAGCAAGAAACTCGAAAAATAGAATAAGTCAGTATGAAATCCTGCAGCCAAAATCTTTGTTTCTTCACCTTTAGGATTTGTCAAATCTTTAGCTGCTCAAGTGTTTGATCCTTAACAGTAATCCACATAGTGACTGAATGAGACCTTATCAAAGGTAGAATCTTACTTATGTTAGCAAATTTTATTTCTAAGACAAAAAAAACCAAAAGTTCTTGCTAAATTTTATTTTTATTAGACAAGGAAAATTATTTTTCTTTTCTTATTTTTATGAAATGACTAAGAAGTGGCTGAAAGCTTAAAGTTTTAGTTAGCTAACATAACATATTTATATAGCCAAACTAAGTTGTAACTTTAAATACAACATTTCTGTTTTCGTTCAATTAAGTCCTTGTAAATTTAACTAATTGTCTAACTTTATTTTGGTCTATTTTAGTTAAGTCAACTTAATTGATTATCCTTATTTAATCTCAATCATGTCACTTAATGTGTTTGACCAATTAAGCTTTTAACACGTTGGTAGGACAAATAAATTATAATCAAATGTCAATTTGATAATTGATTTATATTTATATATCATGAGTGGTATCTAGCAATATATCATAACCACCTAAATGTTAAAAAGTAATTAAAGAATTTGACAAAACCCTTCAATGATAAGCGTCTCAGTACAATATAATTCTTTCATCAAATACTCCGGATATGTCATACAGTAAAGCTCAATGTCTATTTATAACATTCCATATAGTTCTCATAATTCATGACTAACCTTATGAATTTAAGAAACTAATTGTCCGCAAATTTATCATTCTTTGACCAAAGATTTTTATACAAGTTAATTTAGAATTGAGAACAAGTGAGATACATCCCTTTATATCAATTGAGGTGATGAATCCTTTCGTGACCAGTCATCCATCTTTGTATGCTCTATGGTTTGCACAAAAGCACTCTATTTAGGCATTTGGTTGGTTTGAGACATGTAGGGGTGAAATCAAAATATGTCATTTCCCATATAAGATGACTTCAATTGGCTCAAAAGTATCTACCAACATTATTTTCATAAAACAACACTTGAATGTTTTGGATGGTTTCAAACGAGCTTGATGGTGAGAATTTTATTGGTTGCACTTACTTTCCTATAATTTTGAAGCAACATTGCTTTTAGTATTGGTGGCAAAGTTGGGACGGTTACCTATTTTATTGGAAAAATTTTTGTTTGTTATGCTCCTTATGGTGGTGCCTTTGTGTTTTATTTTTTTAGTTTTTGAGTTATGTACCTTTGTTTACGGACATATTCAGGTTTAGTGATTTTAAGTCTTAAAACCTATTAGTTAGATCTTTTAATTTTTCCTTTTTTGGAGATTTGAGTTCCTTTTGTGTAGTTTTGTTTCACGTATGGTTGGAACCATTCAATTCAGTAAGAGAGAGTAGAATGTATCATCGGTAGTCTGGTATCTCCTCATCACGTTTCTTTCTCTCCATTATAGCAGCATCAGAATCTATTCATAGTTGGTTGCAAATTGGGATCAAGAGCATCAAGTTTCCCATATATATTATCCTTAAAAAGTAAGTTCTCTAGATTATGGGATCAAGACCACCTTCTGTCCCTCGTCATTGTCTTACCAGCTCTTGCATATGCAAGACAGAACTGAAGGGACAAATACATTACAGGCATATGCTATGAACATGAACGAAACCAATAAAGGATACCAACTCTTGTGGGTGCAACTAGGCCTACATTCACTGTTAAGAGCCAAGTATAATTGGAACTCCATGATTTTTTGTATGCTCTATTTTCCCTTTTTCCTTCTTTCTCTTACTGTTTCTTTCTTGTTTTCTTCATTTCTCCTATGCACCGCTAGTGAGAATATGCTCGTTCTGAGTATGTTTATTTTCGGGATGCCAATCTTAGGCTATTAGCAACCAAATAAGGCCATTAGTTTGCCGGATCAATGACCGGATCTAGTCCCTACCTAGCACTCCAGATTGGTGTTGGAGTCATTGGTGCACCAAGTCGACATTGCCAATGATTGTTCCTAGCCACTAGTACTCCGATATGTGCTTTAAATGCCAAAGACTACAAGTTTCTTTCAAGATGGGTGAACCTGTTCCTTCACTTTGCTCGATGTGTTTTGGGATATATATGTACCAAAAGAAAGAAAGATGAATACACAAAATAAAGATACCCTGATGTGTTCTTGAATATTTTGGAACAATTTGTGGTGGGATTGTGATGTTATTATGAGATGAGAATGAAGTCAAATCAAATTTAATTCATGGGCTTAAAGATTACGTGGTTTATTGGATAGGAGAAGTCTCTCTCTAGCTGCCTTTTGCTCTTACATTTGGCCCCTTTTATGGGCCAACCAGAATTAAATAAAGAAGTTCTTTTGTATGGTCCTATAGCCTAAATCTTGGATTCTGATGTTACTTTTCAGGGTATATGAACCATGAAACATTCCTAAGCATTCCTGTCCAAAAGAAAGCACGAATAATGAACCATACGCTTCTTTGTCTTATCCTTTTTATCATATTTGTTTACTTCTTAACAACCACGAAAACATAATCGAGAATTATGGTACATAGCATGTATTTTGATATTGACCAAAAGGGTTGATACATACATATGGATGGGAATAAAGAACATATCTTGTCATGGTGTTGGCTATAATTAATTAAGCTCTCCATGCATATCCCTATGGTGTCCGGAGATGGCAAAAGGTAACAAACCACCTTAATGGCAACCCTAGCCACAGCACAGCATTGCTTATATATCTACAGCATAATGTAGCTTCCAAGGAAGAATAAACTTTTAAAAGATGATCACTGACGGGGCTGCCATGGGCAGGAAAAGTGTTGGTAAGGAATACCCCAGTCACGGGTCAGTACTAGGAGGGAAGCCTAACCGCTGTGTCATTCATCCACTGCAGTCTAGTATGGTTGCTGAAGCACTAGAAAGAAGAAATAAGGACTGGTTATTACCCTCCCTTCACTTTCTTTTTTTTTTTTTAAATATATAAATTAATCTTAGTGTTATGTGATGATTTTTTTTTTTTTGTTTTATAATTCATATATGCAGGATTGTTAGGACAAAAGATGCAACTGATTTAATAGTGCAGGTTGGAGACTTTAGTTTTCACTTGCATAAGGTGAGATATATACTTATGACTTTCTTAGTGAAGCATGCAATGTAGAACTCACCATAAAATGCATTAATCATTGGTGATTTGACATAAGATAAAAAATTACACATAATTTATGGATGTCTAGTACAATTTACTCAAGAGATTGATTATTAGCATGAAGTAGAATGGATGCATCAGATTATTATAATTTTATTATTCAATCAGAGAAAACATATCATATTCTGATCTTCAGCTTGCTATGGTTTCGAAAAGTGGATATCTGAGGAGACTTGCATTCGCTGAAAGGAGTGGGGAAGAGAATGGGAGCAGCCTCAAGATCATACTGGAAGATCTTCCAGGTGGAACCAAGAGTTTTGAATTAGTTGTGAGCTTCTGTTATGGAGGGAAGATAGATGTAACAGCTACCAACATTGCTCCACTCTATTGTGCTGCAACGTTCTTGGAAATGACTGAAGATCTTCAGCAAGGAAATCTCATTTCAAAAACAGAGGCCTTTCTAAGTTATTTAATGTTGTCATCTTGGAAAGACACTTTCCAGATACTTAAAAGTTGTGAATCTGTATCTTCTTGGTCCAAAGAATTACTAATTGTGAAGCGGTGTTCAGATGCCATTGCTTGGAAGGCCTGCATAGACCCAAAAGCATTTGCTACTCTAGAAGAAGATGAAGCATTTTGCTTGACCCTTCTGGCAAATAGCCATGGAAACTTGAATGTTGAAGAATCATCTGAAAAATGGTGGTTTGAAGATGTTTCAACCCTTCGAATAGATCATTTTGTCCAAGTGATTGAGTCCATCAAAAGCCGAGGGATGAAATCAGAGCTTGTGGGATCTTGTATAGCTCATTGGACGGTGAAATGGTTCTCAAGAATCACCTCCGGATTTGATAATCTGACCCCTAAGCATCTGGCTCAAAAGCTACAAAGGATTACAATTGAAAGTCTAATTAAGATGCTTCCTATGGAAAAAAATTCAGTTTCTTGCAACTTCCTGCTTCACCTTCTCAAGTTGGGCTTGACAAAGCAAATTAATTCTGAAGCACTGAGCAAGCTGGAAAGAAGAATAGCTTTCATGTTGGAGGAATGTTCTGTTCAAGATCTCTTGGTTAAGAATTATGGAAGCAAGGATACTACATATGATGTGGGGATTATCATTAGGGTGGTCAAAACTTATGCTTTATTTGCTCTGAAATACTCTGAGCCGAGAGTATGCATCGTTGGAAGGTTGATGGATGGTTATCTCCCTCTAATTGCAAAGGATACCAACCTGACAGTTGATGATTTCAAGTCACTTGCAGAAGCATTACCAACAAATGCTCGATACAGTGACGATAACCTTTACAAAGCCATGGACATGTACCTCCTGGTATTAAAGTCATTTCCAATCATTTTTCTATACATGCATTATTATCAAATCATAAGAATAGGCTTTTTCCTAATTTCAAGTTTATATAAATGGGCAGGCACACCCTAATCTAACAGAGGAAGAAAGAACAAATGTGTGCGGAGCAATGCAATATCATAGACTATCACAAGATGCACGCCAGCATGTAATGAAGAATGATCGATTGCCCTTGAAAATTGTGAGAGAGTTCATGCTTCTTGAGCAAGTAAAAATGGCTAGATCAATCACAGCATGTGAGTCGAATGATCATCCAAGGACAAAGACTCGAACAATAATGAAAGTCACTAAAGGTTTAGATAGGGGATGCCTCACACCTAAAAGGGAGATCAGTATGATAAGAAAAGAGGTGGAGAATATGAAGATGCAACTCGATCAGTTGCAAACGTGTAAAGTAAAGCTTCAGAGACAAGTTAAAAGATGCATCAAGTAAAAGATAAAGCTTAGTTTTGATAATTAAATTACTGAGATTAAAGGAATTAGTTTGTTTCAAGGAGCATGTGTACTTCCTCTTTAGTTGTAGACCAAGTAGGATTAGGTGGTAAGTGCAGGGGTCTAACTATGTGTATTTGAGTCAACTTTGAAAAATTATAAATATGTCTAGATTTCCATAAAATGATTTGACATTTTTTTACATTGATCCCATTAAAACTACATAAGAACTTAAAAAATACAAGTCAAAGATAAATTTCACCTATTTTTTGCATACAAAAAAATAGATATGTATGATTCCCATCTTATATATGAGTTTTTAAAGTTTTAAAATATGCATTGTTGATTGGTATTACATTTACATCATCTTATCTTTTCATTAAAATAAGTTTTTCATGTTAGCCAAAAGTATGATTTTTTTTTTGTCCTAGAAAAAGAATATAATTCATGACTAAATGTGATCAATACAATTCTCCACATAACCAACAAGACAAAACTAAATGTGCATCAGCTCGAGAAAGCCAAACCTCTCACGGTCGTTGGAAATAGAAATTCATGATCAACAAGGAGTAGGGAGACCATCCCTGTGTACAAGTGAGGATGGAGGTCTTTCAACCCACACCTAAGGGCACATCTTTTCTTTGATTGCTTGTAATCCAATATGCTAGGAAGATAAACTTAAAGTAAAGTAACTAAAAAGGGAGTGAAATGGTTATAAACTAAAATTTTCCCTTTTTAAAAAATCTTTGAAAATGCAACAAAATTGAAGCAAAAATAGAGTATGAACTAAATAAGCAAAGTGCAAAAAAGTAAAGAGTACTCAACCGGATTTTATACAGGTTTGGCCTTCCAATGCTTACATCCTCTTCTTGATAATATAAGGAGTTTGAATCTACTGTCAACTTGCATTTTCAATAGGACTAGATGTAATCTTTACAACATGTTTTTAACAAGATCAAGAATAACTTTCACAACATGCCTTTTCATAGGATCAAGGGTAACTTCCACCAAGACACTACATTTTTCAAGTTCAAACACAGCCTTTACACAAGATACGACTTTTTAAAGGATCAGGTAAAACCCCTTTATCTTTTGCTTAGAGGTAAAACTAATATAATAGTGGCTTTTAAAGAATCTCTAACTCAAAACCTCTAGAAAGGCTAGTAAGAAAGTTTAGGTTCAAAAAGATGAGAGCTTTCTCAAATGATATGAATAACTAAAGAAGGTTTAAACTTAGGAAGTATCAGTTGAAGGATAAAAATGTGATCGTTAGGTTCTACTCTGGCTTAAAGATATGATTTTTCTATTCATAGCTTTTTTTATTGTTTTTCCGCTCTTTCCCTCTTCAAAGTTGATTCAAGATTGTTCAAGTTCCTTGCTTTAACATTCTCAAGGTAGATATATATAAGCCTTATGATTTCTTGCCTGTTAGAGTCAAATTTGAATTAGCTTTTCTATGTTCCAACCAGTTTGCACATTTTTGTTGCATATGGAGAATTAGTTCTTTGATCATGAATTATTGATTCTTCAAAAAGGCTGGAGCCTTCTATCTTTGAAGAATCGGTTCTTTTATTCTAAGATGTTGGTTCTCCTACATCTGGGTTTAAAAGTGACACCTCTACACTATTGGAGAATCAATTCTTCTGCCTCAAGGTTTGGGCTCTTCAATGTGGTTTGGTGCAAAATTTAAATTTAAGCTTGATTTTTGGTGCTCAAATCTTATCCAATTATACCATCTCTTTCTTGTTCAACAAGTTTCTGAACCTTGCTTTTGGTGTTTCAAGAATCGATATCTTCTTCATGTATAATCGATTTTTTCTTCTTTGCATTTTTGCCATCTAATTCTGTTCCTCTATAATCGATTCTTTCTTTCTTAGGTGTTGGTTCTTCGCAAATCTTGAAGCTTTTATCTTTCAAGAATTGACTTCTTTTTTTCTCAGAATCAATTCTTTACTGTAGATGTTTGCTTAAGAACTGACTTCTCCCATCTTTAGAATTGATTCTTAATATGATAAATAAATAAATTTTGTTTTCTTCTCATTTAAGAATCAAGTGTTTTCTTACGAGAATTCGATTCTTAGGCTGGTACTTTGAGTTTGAAATCTTTGAAAACTAATTTCTTTACATATAAACTTTCAAAACTCCTTGAGCATGTTTAAGAGTATATCTTTAAGCATATTAGTATTTTCAAAGTATATTCAATTCATCTTTCTTTTAAGATTAACTTTAAAACATTTATGATATTCAATTCATCTTTCTTTAAGATTAACTTTAAAACATTTATGAGGATTTTCTTTATGTTCAAAAACATCTTTCATTCATTCTCAAAGCATATTCAATTCAATCAATTTTGTAATTTCAAAATAAGTATAAAGCTAATACAATTAGAAGCCATATTCGCATTTCACTTTATCAAAACAAACTTAGTAGCCTAGAAACCTTGTCGATCTTGCTTAACTTCTCTAGAATTGGCACAATATTCCAATGTTAGTCCTTTTTTGCTTTCGAACATCTTTTGCTATTGTCTTAGAATCTATCTCAAAAATAACTTTTGAAAAATTCATCTAAGGTGCTAAACATGCCTTTTCTCTCAATGCTAAAGGGAGTTGATCCTAATACTTGCATGAAAGATTTCTAGAAACAATGGCACGTGTGGGAGCCTACAAAAGTGTTTATGGTATTATTAGACTACTAATAATACTATGATATAGAGTTATTTGGACTTAATTTTAATAATAATTTAGCTTAGTTCTTGCAGTAATGCATAAAAATTAGTAAGTTTTATTTAAATTATTTTAAATTAATTAATTTAGGTGAGTCAATCTAATTCTAGTTAATTTTATACTTAATTTGGTGTTAATGTGATTAAGATAGGTTGTTGTTGATTTATTTATGTTTTTGTAGGTGTTTAATGGAGGAAGACTTTTAATGGAAGAAGAAAAGCAATTTTGAGGTACAGATTATCATTGCACATATTTTGGTATTTCGATCATAACTCTTTCTACAGAGCTCTAAATAAAATGATTTTTAAACCATTGGAAAGCTAAGAGAAAAAGCTATAACTTTGATTCACTTTACCCAATTCAGTCTAGAAGGTAGTCAAAAATTATGATTTTTGCTAATCAATTGGTCGAGGTAGCAGTTCACATAGTCTGATGAGAAAATCCTGATTGAAATTGACTTCTTTCTTCACCAAACTTCGCCCTTAAGCTTAAGCTGCCACAAACATCCAAGATCCACCCCATGTTCCACATGAGAATCTTGAAGCCCTACCGTGGAGGCCTATATGATCCTAACCAAGGCAAGAACAAGAGGCACTTGATGGGTGAGCTAACCTTTGATAACTTTATTATATAGAGTTATTTAGTCTCATTTTAAGATGTTAATATAACTAAGTCCTTTTGTTTTAAGTAGTCTTTAGACAGTTTTTAAGTTTTTAGTTGATTAGTTTAAAGCATTTTAACTTAGTTTAATTCAAGTAATTCTAGTTTATTTTCATGTTGAAAGTCCTATTTTAAGCCAATTATGATTTAGTCCTTGTGTTTGTAGGTTTTCAAATGCATAAAGTTAAATGGTGTTGAACTATGCATTAGAGACTAAGCGTAGATTTTCACTAAACATGTTGTAGTAATTCAAACATAACTCAAGCTACAAGGACTCAATTAATGAGACTCTTAAACTGTAAGAAAGCTAAGATGTAGAACTACAACTTTTGTGTTTACCATTTCACCTAGATCAACTTTGAGGTACAAGAAAATTGCATTGCAAGATGAGGTACTACAACTATCTACACCAAGGCAGTAGAAGCAGCAGCACTGTAGCCTTGCAAAGCTCAAGGTTGTAGCACCCAAGGGAGCAGTAATGCTCTTTTACAAATTCTCGAGAAGCTAGCACCACAGCCCCTAAGGATGAGCACCATGACATCAGTTGAAAAACCATGAAAAAAATATATAAGGTAGTAGTGCCACTGTGCCCATGCAGTAAAGTTATGGCATTCTGACGTGGATTCTGAATTTGTAGCCAATTGAGAAATAACTTTTTAGGGTTTTTTGGAGGCTATAAATAGGTGATTTTCAGCAATTGAGAAGAAAGGCTCAGAGAGTGAATGACCAACAGGTTTTAAGAGAAAAGAAAAAGACTTCTTAACGAAAGAAAAAAATTCAAAGGCAACCAAAGATCAAGAATCGAAAAAGGCTTCGATATTTCTTTCCTCTTCATTTCTTTCTTGTTCTTTTGCTGTAGAAATGATATTTTCTTTTAAATTAATTATGTTTATTGTAAAAATAATGATGAACTAAATTTGTTTTCTAGGATTATGGGTTTTTTCATTATGTCCTTTGAATATATGGTCTCTTTAATTAGAATTAATGGATGATGCATGGTTTATTCAATTTTGTACTTATTTCCTTTTACTGCTTGATCATCAGTTGAAATGTCTTGGGTTTCTAAATGCAACTCAACAGAAAGAGTTTAGAATAAACCATTGTTTTGAATAGTTTATGTTCGATTCACTTTAAAGTTAAGTGATAGTTTTGTATTTACGATAGACATATACCTAAATACTTTAAGCAACCAAATCAGAACATGAATGCAATGAACCTTTTCTAATTAATTTACATAAACATATGAAATTAGTATTGAAAAAGTACATGTATATGATTTAGACGAAGAATTATACATAATATGGATTTTAGGTTAATTGTGTATCCCATTAATCTAAGTTAAGGAGAATGATTAAATTTAGATGAAATTTTGAAAAAAAAACCATAATCTTAGGTTTTGAATTAATATTTTTCTTAGAAAAATTTTATTTTATTTTATTTAGTTAGTTTTAATAATCACTGTTAGTGTAATTAATCATTCAAAATCGAATTCTTGGATAAGATCAACTTTGTTATAAATTTAATATTTAGTGAGAATAGGTACAAATTTCTGTGACAAATGATACTCGACTTACCTTTATATTACTTGTATGGCCATATGCACTTACGTGTATTAAACCGATAACATCTTTGTATGATTGAGAGGTTGAGGAGATCCTTGTCAAATGGGTGTTGCGAAAGAAGAAAAACCGCCCACAGCACTAGTACTTGGTTCAATGGAAAAGGTCGCCTAAGAATGAGGGCAATTAAGAGCTTACCTAAGCCCTGTGGCAGTTTGAGGAGTTGGTGGATGATACCATAGCAAAAGGTAATGAAGGCATTGCCAAGATTGTTTTGGGAGAGTGTCATGACCCTTTGTCTCCTTAACCACGCACAGTGCGAAGGTATGCAAACTAACGCATAGAAGAGCCAAGATTCCCCCCAAGATGTGGGGAATTTGCACATAGGAAGCATGGCATGCATAGTGGGGTGTAACATGCACTCTATGGCCAAGACTACACCAATGACTCCCAAAGCCACATGATCATTATTGATGGTATAGACGCACACAAACATGCTCGTTTAAACCCCAATGACTCATTAGCTGTTGGCCATTGCCTTGTAACTAGTAAAGGGGAATGAAAATGGCTAACTATATCAAGCAAATATTGAAACATTTAAGAACAACAAATATCGCATTGACCTAATAAGTACACCAAAGAGAAGAAAACATGCAAGCAAATAAAAGAAATCATAATAAATCAAAGAATTATCAAGAACAACATAGAAATGAAAACATGAGAGCAAAGAAGATAAAAAATAAAGAAAATAGAATAGAAAAGAAAGTGAAAGAAATAGAGCGAAACACAAAAAAGCAAATTGGGTATGACTAGCAAAAGAACTAGAAAAATGCAACCAAAAACTTAAAAACCTAAGAATAAAGAGAAAAGATATGAAAAATAAAAGCAAACAAACAAAGAAAAAACAAAAATTTCTTTGATGTAACTCCTCTTCCTCTCTAATCCACTTCCTTCTTTCTTCTACAAAAATCTAGAAGCTTCTACTTTATCTTTTCCATTCTATCACTTTCTCTCTTCACCTAACAACCTATCCCAAGGAAAAAGTTTTACAAAACAAAATATAAGAGAAATCCATGCTAAATGATATAAAATGACTATAATACCATCATATATATTGTAATCAAATATACTTTAGATACTATTCTAATAAGTTAGAATTGTTATCACATGTATTTCACGGTGAATATTTATTTTTAAGTAATAATTAAATAGAGATATAAATTGTTTTAAAAGTGATTACTTAAAAGAATGGAATAGATTCCCGAAGGTAAAAAAGGAAAAAAAAAAAACAAAAAGGATTCGGGAAGGTTTGGGTATAGATAAGCACTCTATGACTAACTGGCCATAGGAAAGGGTGGGGCAGCAATGTGGACAATGTCACGAGACAGGACATGCCGTGACATAACATGAGAAGAGTTACGGACCAAACTCCCAAAACCAATGGCTCGAAAACAATTTGCTCCAACATAAAGCTAAAAGCCACTCCGTTTCACTCCCCTTTCTTCTTGTCGCTCTGGGGTCTGCTCATTAGTCCCTGCAAATCCTCTCCATTTCTAAAGAGAAAGAGAGAGTTTTCACCTGAGAGAGGGAGAGAGAGAGAGAAAGAAGAAGAAGAAGAAAAGGTTAAACCCGAAACTGAAACCAAACCTTACCAGTTCTTCCTCCTCCTCTCTCCAGAGCTTCATCCAAGATCTGTTTGACTCTCTCTTTCTCTTTCTCTTTCGACGCTTTTAGGGTTTTTGTTTATTTTCCACAATAAACTCCAAAATGGTTAGTTCTGTCTTTTCCTTTTCTTTTTTAAAAGAGATTTTGGTGTGTGTTTGTGTTTGATTTCTGCCTTTTATATGGAAATTGTTGTTGGTTCAGATGTTACTAGCTCCTTAAATTCTGCTCTAATTCTGCTTCTGGGTTGTTACAGATATAGATTTATCTTGTACTCACATAACTTTTATGGTTGAAAAATTGAAGGGAACTGAGTTCTGGAGAACGATAATTGAGGAAACTAACTGAAACAAAGATTGGGTTTTGGCTGAATTATAAAAAAAAAAAAGAACAAAAAGAAAGAAGGGAGAAAATTCATCACTGAGTGTTCTTTTCTCTGTTTTAGATTGTGTTGATCTGTACTAAATTCTTTTGACTGTTGTCGAGGGGTTTGCACCTGTTTTCTTCTATTTCTGTTCTATAGTAATATATAATGCCAATTGCATAGTTGGTGTCACTTCAACTTGGAATTATTTATTTAAATATTTAAATATTTAGCCCTGACTTGGAAATATACCCAACTCGCTAAACAACCTTATTTTCCCAATTTTTTAAACTGTTATTTCTTATTAATTTTTCTTCACTACAGAATATGTTCATTCGTATAGATAAAATGTAAAATCATCTTTTGTAAAGCTATTTAACTACATATGCATGGTGTGTGATAACATTTCTAGCTTATGTAATGTAATCTGGTTCTGTTCTTCTTAACAGCACAAACTGGGCAGAGGGCATCGGGACAAAGTCCAGCAGTTCATGACAATAACTGGAGCGAGGTAACCTGATATTCATTTGTTGTTTTAGTGTTAAATTTTGGGTATTTATGGGGTTTACTTTCAAAATTATTGTGAATGTAGAAGTAGTTGGAAAATGGGCTGGAAGAAAGGTTTATGAGCTATGTTTAAAGTAAATGTATTATAGACATTTAAAGAATTAAGAGGATAGTGGAAGGATAGATTAATTGCCTACAACAATAAAAATTTTGACTAGAGAACTTAAAAATAGGACGCTAACTATTAATGACTGTATAACTTCCAAATGAGCCCGTCATACTCAGCTTGTTATGTCTTTTGATAGATGTATAGGCAGCTGCCAGTGATGAATCAGATTGATGAAAACTTGGCTTGAGCCCTTCTGCCTGTCTCTCAGAAACCCATTGCGATTGTGTCACTCTGTCACTTGCTTTATCTTTTAGCATAATGAGTTGACCAATGAAGAGTTGGAGTTTCCTTAAAATGTTAAAAATACATTTTCTTAATTCAAATATATATTTTAGTTGCCACAAATAGTGTCAGCGTGAAAAACGTGACAAATACCGTTGAGATCATCATTGGAACAAAATGATTTTAGAATGTTGTCTTTGCTAAATGGTAGGAATCCAAGGTTATTTCTAGTTTTGTCTTGGGTCATGATGGAGTCAATTAATTGGAATGAGTTGAAATTAACTTAATTCCTTTTAATTAACTTATTTATTAGTTGGTCACTATGCTTGCTTCTCTTTCTAGTTATGCTCATAATAAGAAAGTTTATTAACTTTTCTATATTACCTCTCAAGCCCAACCGTTGTATCTACTTGAATTTTAAACTACACTTTAATCTAAAAGGAGTTTTATACATACATACATACACACACACACACGTCTGTTTCTGTGTGTGTGTTGTGTTGTGTGTATATAATCCTTAGGGAGCTGCCGTGCGCGCGTGCGTGTATATATATGCTGTTCTATATTGCATCCACTTTTATACACCATTATTCTGCTAAGCACTGCAGTTTCTAAATCATATAAAACCCATCTACCTGTTCATTATAGCCACTTTTTAATATAAATTTGTTCTTACCTTTACTTCCTTTCTAAAACTTGAACTGCTTCAGATTGCTTTAATACCTACCATATCATATATACCAAGAATTTCTTCTACATTTAATGTACTTTTTCCCCTTGTCTAGTCTGTACATACTGTAAGTACCAGGGGTGTGGGTTATATCCCCTTATTCTTGTTGATTATTAGTTGCAAAACTAAATTCAACATATTATTGTTATTTTATCTAGTCATGAGATGAGGGAGGGGAGGGGAGGGAATGGAAAGGTAAGGAGCAGAAGGTGGGAAACCCTTCCCTTGTTTGGCTACCATTTCAACTAAAATAAAGGAAAGGAAGGGGTACTGAGAACCGCTGCTTTTCCCCTAAATTGCCCTTTTTTGATATGCCAAATCTGGGGAGAAGAGGGAAAAATAAAATAATAAAATTTCCTTTTATTTTGAAATGACTATAATGCCCTTATTATTTCTTCAATATTCAAACAAAGCCATTTGAAATCTCCCATTCAGACTAGCCATTTCCTCTGAATAGTCTTGTAATCCTCGTCTACTGCCCAATTGGCTTTCTTGTAGCTTCTCATAAACCCTCATTTGGCCTCTCCTAATCATCTCCTCACATCAACAGCTTTTTCATTTTGACCTTTTAACCTAAAACTAAAAAGCTTCTTGTTTAAAACAATGGTTAGAATTAAATGCTAGCACACCATATGTTTCTTGTTATTATCTTTGGGAATGTGCTTTTTTGCTTAACTGAGCATTTTAGTAGTTTTTAACTCTAGGCTTGATTTGTTCTAATTGGCCATGTGTTATTTGATTTTAAGAATTTTTTACAAAAAAATGGTTGTAATGACTTTTTTGTTACTGAAAATATTCCTTTATTTTAGTTAAAGATCAATGGCAGGATTGAAAATAATAATAATAATTGAGTTTTAGGAATTCATTGCAAGACCAATCACATGATTCATGGAAACGTATATTAAAAAGGGTATACATGGAACAATGTATATCCTTTCCCTTCCTCATTAGTAGCTATCCAAACAAGGGAATTGTGTATCCTTTCCTTACTTTTAAAGCTCCTTTTTCCTTTCCTTTCATTTCCTTTTGCTTCCCTTACTAAGTTGAATCCAAATGTAATGTAAGAGACCATCATTTCACTAAAATGAAAATTTGTCTCTTATCTATCAATATTTTCAAACCAAACATCGATGAGTTACTTAATGTTTGTTTGCGTTATTTGATTTCCATTTTTAATTGTTTTTGTTTTGATGATTTTATACGTTCACTTGCAATCTTGAATGATCAGTTACTAGTGTCTTAAATTCAACTTGCATCCTTCAAAGTTCAATTAGGTTGCAGAAAAGTAGCTTATTAGAAGACACTTAAACACAATATGGTGTTTCATTTTCTTGAAGGAGTCAAGTTACTTGAAAGTTTTTCTAGGAACCAGAAACTTCGCTTGGATTTTGGAGAATAGAATGTTGAAACCAGAAATCATATTCTGGAACAAGCATGCAAGATCACCATCTACCAACTATAAAACCAGTTGAAAAAACAGCCAGCAAGTTTCAACAACCATGATGTGAATACTATCATCAAACTTGACCATGAAGATTGGGCTCTAAAACCATTTATTAGTCTTCAGTTGTTACATGTTGAGCTGGTTGCAGCAATGTGTGACCAGCCAGAAATTAAGTTACTTGGATTTAGGCTTGGATGTTTGACGTGGGTATATGTCAATATGTCCTACTCACCTTCTACTTTGAACTTGCCGAGTTGACTAAAAAGAGTGTAACAATAGGATACTACGTGGATATGCCTTGTAAAAAATGTCACAAAAATGTATAAATATAATACCTTATAGAAATAAATTTCTTTTTATTTTTGTCTTGACCAAAAAACCAAAATAAAGAATTTAAAATCTTTTCCTCAATCAAATTCATTTTAACTAGTATTAATTTAATAGTTTTGTTCCATAAAAAAAAGTTAAATATATATTTTTTAATTATCTCAAACCTATAAATTGAAGTTGGAATTTGTGTAATCATCAGCTAGGATAGAGCCCAATATATGTAAACATGAGGGATAGCAACCGATTATTACTTGTTATTTTTGCCTTACGCAAACCCAATTAAAAAAATTGAGAAACCTGAACCCGTTTAAAAGAGCATCTTAATACACGTCCAGTTAGAAACTTGATGGCTGTTACTTGTTTGCTACCCAAACTTGCTAATGTCATAATCCAAATCAAGAAATATCTCTTCCAAAACTCAAATCTAGTTTTAGATCTAGAGAAAACTTTGACAATCTAAAGAATACCATTGAAAAAATCTCTAATGATCATAAAAAATATCAAATCAATCACCATGAAAATTACAAAATATATTTAAATATGGGGAAAACATGCAGATCTAAGGTTCATATATTGCGGAAAGAAATAGAATGAAGAAGATAAGAATGGGAAAATGGAAAAAGAAGTTGGATATGACAAAAGAGTAAAAGCAAAGCTGTTGTAGTGCTTTGGTATGTGTGCTTGGTGATGGTAATGGGCTGGTGGCAGCACAAGGAACAATGCAAGGAGAGAGATTAGAGATGAGGAAATGAAGCTGGAGAATCTTCCAAATAATAAAGAAACAAAAGAATGGAAGTGTAACAGTGTTATTAAAGAAAGACAAGAAAGAATAAAATATAATGAATATATTACTATATAATTTTATCCCTATATCGGTTGAGGTAATGGGTACCCCATGGCATCTGCTAGTTCCCTACCCTAAGCTGACACGGGTGGTATATCTAGTACTCAAATGCTACCTATACTCATTTATAGGGTACTTGAACCCTGTTATTTCGGTTCGGGTAAGGTAAGATACCCACTAAAAAAATACCTGTTTCCATCCCCAAAAAACCTATTTTTTTTAGTTGGACTATGACAGTATCCTTTATTTTTTAGTTTTCAAGGAAATATAGAACTTATTGAAATGGATTTATTAGCCCGATGGTCAACCACTTTGTCAAGCCCTAGTTGGAATGAAAAGAAAACTCTAATCTACCTTTTCTTTCTTCTAGTTGCACAAACTTGAAGTCCCTCCCACCATACCTTTCTCTGTCTGGAAAAGGAAGGATGTGAACTTGTGGTTGAGCCTTTTTTTTTTCCTTCCATATTTGGAGCCAACCCACTAGTTGATAGAGATTGAGAACCCCATCTCTCAACAATAGTGATAGCATTATGGAAAAACATTGACCTAATGATCTCTCTCCAGCCTCCATATCTTTTCTTATTTTTAGTTTTTAGATCTTCTTCATGTGAATAAGTTGATTCCTAATATCAGGTGTTGTGTCAAATGAAGATCTCATACCCCCACTTGTTTGTGTGTGTTGACATAGGTAAGGCACCATAAAGTTCTGAGTCCATGCAACAACAATAACTACGTTGTGGAATTTCTAATGATTGCTATTGCCACTACTGTAAGCTACTTGCTAAGGAAGCATTTTCATATGCAGCAAAACACTCGGGCAATAAATTCATTTGGCTGTCAAAAAAAAAAAAAAAGGGTAAACTCCACATAGACCCTTGTGGTATGACATTTTCTCACATAACACCTTGGGGTTTTTTTCCCCCCAAATAAAACCTTGTGCTTTACTACTATTTAGTGTTAAATTTTCATAAAAAGGGCAAGAAGATCCTTATAAATTTCACTAAAAACCCAATAAAATCCTTGAAGTCTTGTTTTTTGGATTTAACCCTAAATTCCCAAATTCTTCCCCAAAGAGAAAGAGGATTGAACCTATTGAAACTTCTAAGGAGAGAATCAATCCAAAACAGAGAAAAATAATCAGAAAAAGACAAGTGGTGGTTTACTTGCAACCGAAAAAATTAGTCCAAGATGGGGACTTGATTGGTCTGCTAAGGACTCTAAGTGCTTTGTTGTTAAAACAAGGGCTTCATCTAAAATTTTCTCGCCATTTATTCTGAATTGGCTAGCTTCATACAAGCTTACAATGCCCTTGACATCACTAGCTAAGACTTCCATGAACTCACCATCACTGTCCTTAAACTTGTTAAAACACATGTGATACAAAATCCAATATTGGATTAGCTAGCATTCTTCATTGTTTGTTAGTGATTAAAAATGTTCTCAATGGACAAAAGGTTTTAAATATAAGGGATTTATATCGATTCTCTCTCTAGAAGTCATAGTCTTTATCATCAATAAGTTTAGATAATGAAACAAAAAGGTATCTTGATTGCTCTTCAGTCTCATTCTCAAAGTGGTATGATAGTCCAAGGTGGCATAGAGAGTTGTTTAGGATGATTTTTTCTACTTGGTTTCTTAGAGCCAATAACATGTCCTTCACCTTTACTTGTCTAAAGAATGTTTCAAATTCCTGCAAAATGCAAAAGGAAAGCAACTTAAACTACAAGGAATTAGCAATCTTCGATCGATTCCCGCTATCATATCTTACCCCTCCATTTCAAATTAATTGTTGACTATTGTACTTTTATATGTCTTTCAATAATGTTTTTATTTCCTTTTCAAACACCAAAAACTTTTATGTTCTTCTGTAGCAAGAAAGCCTCTTCTTGTCTTTTTCTGATATTTTTCTCAGTTTTGGACCGATTCTCTCTAGACGTTTTAGTAGGTTCAATCCTCTTTTTCTCTCTTTGGAGAAGGATTTGGGAATTTAGGGTTCAAATCCAAGAAATAAGACTTTTAGATATAATGGTTTTGTCTTTTTAGTGTAACTTATAAAAGTCTTGTTGTCTGTTTTTGGTGAAAATTCAACACTGTTACCCCTGTGAGAACGGTAGTAAAACACAAGGTTTTATTTAGGAAAAAAAGTACCTTACGTGTTATGTGAGAAAATGTCAAACAACAAGGGGTCTATGTGAAATTTACACAAAAAAATAATGTCATTCATTTCAAAAAAATTTTGTCAAGGGAAAATTAATAAAACAGGTTACCCTACTTTCTTTAGAGAAATTGGATGCTAGGTTCTTGTGGCATCATTTTTGTTGCATGATTAACAAATTATTAAGAATTTTTATGTATCAGATAAAATAAGGAGGTAAGAGAATGAATAGTAAAAACAAAAGTGAAAATGTATACAATGAAAAAAAGTCAAGAAGGTGATCTTTTTGTCATAAAATAGCCTTGTTGGTATTTCTTCAATTCTTGTCTTAGCGTCTAAAATGAATGAAAGCCTAATCTCTAGTGATGTCCTTGATTCCTTGGCAGTGGCTTCTGCCCACAAGGGGCTTTTGGTGCTCCCAAGAGCTGCAGTGTATTGGCTTTAAAATCACCATAGTCAATAACGATAAACGAGAATGATGTTAATGTGAAAATTAGCTAAACCTAACACTGATGACATGCTCCTGGAAAACAGATAGATGCTTGACTTTTGGTCCATTATGTTGCTGCTGCGTCTTGATTACTTAGCCTGTTTGTAATACTCCTTTGGTGATCACTGTATCTTTATGCGTATGCCAATGCCATTTTTTTTTACAGTTACTGTGTTAAAATTATGGGTTTGCAGTCTGTAATCAATTTATTTGTTAGTGGTTGGTCTCCTTTTTGAGTTCTTTTTTTCATGAATTTATATGCATTTCTTATACAATTGCAGTGAGAAAATTGCTCTTCAAGCTTTGAAGGCCAGTGATTGGCATCTTGAAGGAGCTTTTGATGTGTTCTACAGCCAGCCTCAGATTAAAAGTTACACTGATACTAGACATTTGGAAAAGCTTTATAACAGATATAAAGGTAAGCTTTTCTTTTCTTTTGTCTTCCCATCTCGTACTTGCTGTATGGCTTTCTTTAGGGCCCATAAAAAATAATATTATAAAAGATGGGGATAGAGAATTGCCTTAATTTTGTGGTTATGTTTTAGTTAGTATTGTAGATGGAATATTAACAGAAAATACTGCTGAACTACTTCTCTTGGTAAGAGATATTGATATATTCTTATTTTCATTTTGATAGGAATCTAGAACTTTATTATCTGCTGCTTAGTTTTCATATATTAATCCCTTGATTGTATTTAGTAGCTTGCACGACTCCTTTCATCAAAAATACTTACACTGATGGTTTATGCAGATCCCTACGCTGATATGATACTTGCTGATGGTATCACTCTCCTATGCAATGACCTCCAGGTAGCCTTTTTGGTCAATTACGATTTTATGCCTGACAAGTTTCGATACCTTTCCTGTGCTTTTCTATTTTTTCAAAGATAGATAAATCATTTGAATGACACATGGGATCTTTCGATTTTCTGACAGGTGGATCCTCAAGATATTGTTATGGTATGTCTGTCTCCTGAAGTACTATCTCTTGTGATAAAAGGCATTCATATGAAGGAAACTTGTTATTTTTCTGCATGTTTTTTTTCCTCTTTAGCTTACGTTTTACTTGGGGTTCCAAATTGTTGTAAAAAGGTCTCAGAATCTGACTGACATTGTAGGCAACTTTTACCACCTTTTCCACTGATCTTTTAACTGTATGTAACCACTGTCTTTGCTTGTTCACAATGTGAATACTATTAGTTTCAAAATTTGCATACTGTAATAGTAGTAGTCTTGACAAATGGTGATGCAACTCTTTCTAAATTATTTGTCAAGTAATGGTTGGATGTAAATGATTTTCCATTTAGAGTGTAGTGACAGCAAAATTTTGGCTTTAGCAAAAGCTAATGAGGTGTAAGAATGGTAGGGTTTAGAATTTTTCTTTCATCCATGCTGGCTAGCTTAGTTGTTCCAACTCCTATGGTGGTTACTGATGAAAATGATGACAGCTTTGAGGTACTTGAAGTTAAATTTTGTACGAAACTATTAAATGGAATTTGGACATCGTCATAAATAGTTAGAAGAATGGTAGGAGATTTCACAAGATGTCTTACAAGTTGTTGCTATCTGGCTTCAATATTTCGTGGACAATTATGCTGATACTGTAGTAAATTGCAGTTAGTTGTTTCATGGCACATGAAGGCTTCTACCATGTGTGAATATTCCAAGCAGGAGTTCTTCATTGGGTTGCAGGCACTGGGGTGAGCGTTTACGTCCTTTTTCTTTTTTTTTCTAATTTTCTATCTTGAAATGATATTAGATTGTAAATTAGACCTACCATGTTGAGAACACTGACAGAAAGTTATACTTTTTCATGGCAGGATAGATTCTTTGGAGAAGTTTCGTGAGAGGATATCTTTCATGCGTTCTGAGCTGAAAGATGAACGTAAGTTCGATGCTCCATAGAGTATAATTTTCAGTATTCAATAAAAAAATTATTAATTTGTCATACATGTTGCATTTGGCAGAAGAAGCTTCTTTTATTAGAGATATATGCAGAGAATTAGCTTTTTTCAAATAGGTTAGGTTTATTAATATGTTGTGACTTTAAGTAAACATATTGTGTTGTTGCTGATGGAAACTGGATTTGATCTTTGCTAATTATGATTGCGCAGAAAAGTTTCGTGAGATATATAACTTTGCATTTGGCTGGGCGAAAGAAAAGGTATACTATCTTTATACGTCAACCATCCTTTATAGGAAGTTTTCTCTAGGCAGATAGATAATTTGCTGGCAATTGATTGAAGAGTTTCAGACTTGCTGTAAAGTTTGTTTGGATGCAGAGTACTTTGTTGGCATGGTGTTTCTTTTTCCTTGTCAGTGACTGACTGCCTCACACGGTTACTCCTGTGTTAGATCCATTTTCGGATGCTTAGGTTACAAAATCAAAGTTTTAGCCTTTAGCTTGATGTTTGGTTCTGTGCTATATATTTAGTATAAATCTACTTTGAAGTGAGATTTGATGCTTTCAGAATTTCAACTAGAATGTTAATTTGGGGAATGTATAGAGTTTCGATGTATGCAGGTACTGATCTTTTATTGTCTGTCTCAGGGTCAGAAATCTTTGGCATTGGATACTGCAATTGGTATGTGGCAATTGCTGTTTGCTGAGAAGCAATGGCCACTGGTTGACCATTGGTGCCAGTTCTTACAGGTACCTTTGAAATATATTGTGCTCTTTCCTTCCTAGTTTTGTTAGAAGAATCCTGTTTTGGAATGGGCTGCAATAAAGATATAGTCTCCAATTCAGAAGGAACCATTTTTAATTGACCTGCAATAGTAAACTGTATACTTGAGGTAATAATTCTAACGTACAATATTCATTGTTTAGATTTAAATTGTGAAGAAATGTGATCTAATATTCTTTCGTAAAGTTTAATTAATATCTGATAGCTGTCTTAGTAGGAATATCTTTAGCATGAACTTATAGCTATAAAATTTAGAAGAATCAGGAAGTTGGTGTGCTATTTATTTATTTCTTTCGCAAATGGTGCAGTGTTTGCATTGATAATGAGCTCCATAAAATTGCACGCCTACTATCCTTTGTCCTGTCTAGTTTTATCAGATATCCTGAAATTTTATGAGGTTGCTTGTATTTCTTCTGTATCAATCTCTACTTTTAGTTGTTTTTCTAATCACATTTTATGCTCTGATGCCACTTGAACCAGGCCCGACATAACAAAGCAATCTCCAGGGACACGTGGTCTCAACTTTTGGAGTTTGCTAGGGTAAGTTAAAAGTTTCAATCTATGCTTCCCAGACTCAGGTGTAACTGTTATACATGGATATAGATCTAAGATCCTGGCTTGTCAAAATTCAAAATCTATGATACAGAGGATGCTAATTGAAAACTGGTTAGGGGTACTGGGATCCATTTGTCCTTCCGAAATAGTGGTTGAGGTTAAGTTGATGCCTTTCATTTCATTGTCAAGGCACTGATGACACATCATTTCTCTTTTCTCCAAAAGATTGCAATCTCTCTGTGTGCCCCCTGGCCCCCCCTTTTACTCTGAAGGTATCTGCAACTGCAAACCAAGGTTTGCTTATGAGACCACAACCAATCATTGGGCAGAGGGTGTATGATGTTTTAATGCTATGTCCACACTGATCTTATATCCTTACCCAGGTATGTTGTGTAAAAGTGTGCACATTGAGATGAAGAGCGGAGTATGAGCAACAGAGCTTCCGAGTAAGCTGCTGGGGAGAATATTTGCTTCATTTATTTGTTTTGTCTTCTGTTCCATACTTGTCCCTGCATCATATTGATGTTTCATCCATTCATTATGCAAGTCTTGTTAAAGTCTTATCATCTGTCTTACTGAAGCTGTTGGTTGGTAATACAGACTGCCATCTATTACTACTTTCTTGCCGCTGAAACATGTTGGATCTTATTGTTGTAATCATCTATTGAAATTACTGGCTTCAATCATTCATTGCATGCTGATTGCCTAGAAAAAGGGGAAAGAGAGAGAGAGAGATAGCTTTCAATATAATGATCCAAATGGACTTTCATTTCTATGTCTAGTTGGAGTAGAGGGTAAACAAGTGGAAATAAAAAAGTCATAGTTGGTTCTTAGTTGATCCCAGCAAATGTTTTACTACTCAGTCATGTCCATATCATGGTGGATCATATGGAATGTTGTTCCATAATATGTGGTCTGACATGGTATGTTGAAGTTTGGATGTAAAAGATGGTAGTCTTTCACGGAATGCCTTGATTGATGGTGAATTGGACTTCTGTGACTGGTCAAAATGTTTTGAGGTTACTTGCAACTTGTTTTCTACCAAGTGTCTGGTTGGGGCCGACTTTACTGCATGGAGTGTTGAAGTTTTGGACATCAAAGATGTTGGTCTTCATAGGATGCCTTGACAGAGTGGGGAAACTACACATAAGCAATTCGAGTTTTGTAACTGAACAAAATGTGTGCCAAATGCAAGAGTTTCTGATTGGCAACTTCTCTTTGTTTTCTTTTTCATTCCAAGTGCATTGGGGCTGAGGTTACTGTATAGCTTGTAAGAAACCATTTTGCAGTCTGTAATTAACACCTTGCTGCTGTGAATGTCAACCAATTTATTAACCTTATGAGAAAAGTAATTCTCAAGGGTTTGTTTGAGGTGGTATAGCACATGCATTTGTAAATGTCAACTAGAAGCGTGTATTATTCTGTAAATTTTGTCAAGAGGTACATGAAACATAGTTGTGGAGTGGAGTATCTGTTGAGGTGGTACCATTAGTGGTGATAATGAAAATACTGATTCTCTTAGTATCTTCTATCATGCAGACAGTAGACCCTGCACTATCAAACTACGATGCTGAAGGTGCTTGGCCTTATCTTATAGATGAGTTTGTGGAATACTTGAACGAGAATGGCATCATTCAGAATAGCCAGTTGACTGATTGGAGCCAAAAACGATGAAGGACTACTGGATGATAAATTGTTGTGAAGTCTTCACAATTTGTCTTAAGAGTGTGGTTCCTGTTGTGATGCCAATGTGAAGTATCTATTTCATCTTCTGAAAATAAGATGCAAAATATCCTGTGGTTTATATGGATTTCTGGTGACATTTGGTGCACATCACATTCTCAGTCATTGTTGATATGGTAATATGCCTTTTCGTTTAAGTTAATCAGTCTTTTTTGGATTTTTGAGGCTTGAAATTATTCTCTCTTTTTTTTTTTCTTTTAATAAGTAGATATATTGTGATCTATGATCAAAGGCTGAAAAACAAATCCAAGGAGTTTCAAGCCAAATAAAGGGAAACACAAATCCAAGTTTGCACTTTGATTTGTTGATTTATTCACTAGATTTGGGTGAATCTTATTTCATAAGCATTTTCTCAAGTACCTAATTAAGTTCATATTTATGCTTCCCAGTATCTCTATGGTTATTTACTCGCTGGAAGTTTGGAATTTGATTTTCTACTATTTTAGTTTGGTGGATTTAGATAGGTTTAAAGAAGATAATCCTTAACATTTCTTGATAAAATAATTCTCCAAGCTTTCAATTGCCTTTCTTTCTTTCTTTCCTAGTGACGGCTAGGGCTCCTCCTCCTAACTCAAAACTCTAATCTTTTCTTAGGGTATTGTCTTAGTTGTTCTTTGCCATATGAACTCTATCCCAACTAAGAGTTTTAAATTAATTAAAGTAACTTATGACTTATGATAAAGGTTATTGAATTAAACCTCTACCTCAACTTGAATTCCACCAAATCACATTGCCAATACACTCATCTTATTGAATTAAATATGGAGTTTAAACATTTCCACTCACTAACTCCTTCTATCATAAAGGTTATTGCATCCACAATCCTAGCACCATTAGAATCCATGGGATTTAAAACTCCTAATTTTATGAGGATAAAATCAATTCAAAGCAGATTAGCAAAAGCTCAACCAGGTCTCTTCAAATAAAATTTAAATTCAAACTTGACCCTATTTAAATACCAAAAAATAAAGCTGGCTTGTAATTCTCAAATTTGGTTCACACTATCCAGCAACTTGTGACAAATTTTTCCCCTTGATCCCATTCAAATTGGGCAAAATGGTAAATATAAAAATTATAGCCTTGTTTGGACCCTAGAGTGAATGTTATGCATAATTACTAAAACAAATCTGAGAGAAGATCTTGCCAAAAATAACACCAAAGCAATTTGCCTTCTTTGACCCACACATGGCTTTCTCTATAACAAAGGTCGAATGGCCCAAATTTTCCTTTGGAAATATAGTGCTTGGTAAATTAATTGAGCCCAATACTTCACCATCACCTTGGCCCAACTCCTACTTTTACTAGGCCCACATAAATTGTCATTAAATTAGCATGGTTGTTTATGTTTTAATCCGGAAAGGAAAATTAATCAAATAAGTATCTAAATCACATTAAATAGACAGAATTATTCCATAAATCCTATAAAATTATGGGGTAAAATATGAATATAGATAGGATTTATCACTTCCCACTCATGCATGATACTTTTACGACTTTGACTTTTAATTACTTTATGTATTGAAATTTGACATTTTAAAAGAAAAAAGAAATTCATATTTTAGTCAGTAAGCTTTTTCGCTCAAATTTTGACTACAATGATGTTACGTTATTAGCTGTTAACTTTATCACTCATTTCTCGATCATATCTTGTTATTCACAAATTAGTCGTAGCTTTTATTCTTTACTTATTTAAAGGGTTGAATTAATCTCCGTTCACAATAGGTTGAGAGGAAACCTTTCTTGTATAAAGTTTAAAGTTCTCCTTCAGTCACATATAATAATATGAAGGGTGAATTATGTGTAACATTTATTATGAATAGCATTACTCATACTAACCCACAAAGGACTTGTCCATGGAATATTGGCAATCGGAGGTCAACTTTCAAAATAATTTGTTGAATATGTGCTACATGAGTACCAGAAGCACCGCGAAGTGTGTATACCAACTTAATCAAACGCAAGAACAAAATGACTCCTAACCTTAAGCCAAATGTGCATGGAGTCCTTTGAGGAGAAGTGAGAAAACATAAGAGGAAAACTACCAAGGGAAAGAGGTTCACATGTAATATTATTATTATTAAGCATCATTCCTTCGTGATTGATTTGTTCATTTAGGATGATGAACTACCCTTTAACTGATTATAGACATCATTCCTTGTAAACAGTCCCGATCGAGAGAGCTAATTTCTTGCACGAATTAATTACAGTTTCAAACCAGATTTACTGACAATTAAGTCAATTTGGATTCAACAGACCTGCCTGCGAGAGAGTTCCTCAAGGGCTGCCACATCTTTCTTTCTAGCAAGGTCTTTGGCATTGCTTAGCAAGGAAAGATATTCATAGTAGTTGGCTTTCTGAATTTAAGTGACAGGAAAAGGAAGGATAATATTATTTTGGTTCCTAGACTCTTTTGTATTTAACCCAGAGTAATATTAATTCGAGTCATAGTTTGTTTAAATCGAGCTGCATATTATGTATCGAAATCATATTTTTTAGTATTTAAGTATCGACTATCATATCGTATCTTAAGATACGGTAAAATATTTTAAACATTTATACATGTAAAATAAAAAAAATCAAAAAATATTATAATTTTTTATAGAATTAAAGATTATAGGATGAAAATTGAAAAGATAATTATTTTTTTACTTTAAACTTTTAACCTACTCCTTAACAATATAGATTTTTAAATAAAATATATACTTTATATTAATTTATTAATTAAAAAATAAAAAACATTTATCATGCTAAAATTAAATGGGAATTCGATTTTTTTTAGTATTTTGTTTTGTTTAAAATCTAAAGATTCAAACTCATAAAATATAATTCTTCATGTTTTAGGTCAAAAAAATAATAAAAAAATAAAATTTTTAATAATTAATTAAAATTAAACTTATAAAAAATATACCGATTGTATTATACGACGCATCTCGTATTATAAAATACGTATCTCATATCATGCGATACATTTTTTTATATTTAATTTTATATTTAATCATTTTTTATTAATATTATGACATATCTTTCGATTCATATCGCATATCATATGATAATGATAACTATGATTAAAGTTATATATATATTATAATTTATTTTTTATAAATTTATATATATAAAAGATACAGATACCATACCGCTTCTTCACGTTGATTAATGGTACTAACAAGTAACTCGTACGCTTCTTGCTTTCCCTGGATTAGACCCTGAAATGTCTCTGACAAATCATTCATCTCTTTGTCCACAGCTTTTAGTTCATCCTCTAAGCACTTGATTTTAGCCATCACTTCACAACATTCCGGTCTCAAAACCTCTGGTATCTTATTGAGAAGCTACAATGGAGATGATGGTGATATCGTAATTAGCAACTTGGAGAAGGAGAATACAGTGGAAAAAGGATGGATCAAGTCAAGATTATTTTACTCTAATTTGCTCCTCTATGGCCTTTTTGGAAATGTTTCCCTTTGAAGCCGCATCAGCCATAGCTTTCTGTTGTCTTTCTTCAATCTGCATGACACCTTCGAGTATCTGTACAAACTGTTCTTTGTTTCTGCTCATACTATACCAGAACTACTGCCCCAAGAGTCCCCAGAAGCCAAAAGAAAAATTAAAATTTAATCAATGAAACCATCCGAAGTAGCATTAAGGCAAGTATGTATATAAATATATATATATATATATATATATATTTCTATATAACTGAGTTTCCAATATCTCAAAGCTTACAGCACGATTGTTAAGCTCTCTCCCCAGAAAACCTGAATTGATATCTTCCTGTTGGACATTAGAGATCTCTGTTGAGAGCTGCTCTTCATTAGCCAAATTGTTGCTTCCATGTGTCACCCAGGCTCGTGGACTCTGGAGAAAAAGAAAAAAGAGAACCCAAAAGTGAATATTTGCATATCATAATTCATAAACTGAAATAGTGGAGCTCAAATTTAACCATCAATCGGTGCTTATTCTTACATGAATACCACATTCTCTTGGAGAGCTAGAGCTAGTGGCTCCTCCTCTGCGGACATTCAGCTTCTCCAGAGCCGCTTGCAGGAAATCCACCATCATTGTCTTCCATTCGATGCTGCATTCAAGTACAGCACTGCGATATCTTAGCCTTTGCAGTTGCGAATTGACAGCTTCTCCACTTGACTGTTGAGTTGAGAATTACGTCCAACATGGTGCATGGATAAAATTTACATGAATTACTATTATTATTATTATTAAAATTTATATGCATGGATAAAGTATACATGTCTGTGGTGCATGCATGTCTCTTAATACGTACCATGATTTCCTGACGCTTGTCATCTACCAGAAGTTTCTTCTGTTGGTCCAGTTCTTCAGACTGCTTCCTTGCCCATTCGAATTTGGAATGTTCTTCTGGGTCTTTGTAGGGCCAAAACTTGACAAAATAGAATTGATGGACCTTTTGGGAGACACCATCTTCATTCAAAACAATACCTTGAGGCTCAATTCCACCTTCATGCAAGTCCAAGCAATCCACCCTCCCTTCATCTTCAACTGCTGCAGGAATTGGCTTCCAGTTGCCTTTCTTGGGTTCTTTAGCCATGCCTAATTATTGCCTATCCTTAGCTACAGAAATGCAACTGTACTGGGGAACGTTGAATAGCAATTAAAGGGCAAGCAGAAATTAAAATGGAAGTGTGGAAACAGAAATCAAAATCTTACCTTCAATGGACAGATACAGAGGCTTCCCCTCTGGCTCTGGCTTCTCTTGAGATGGACACAGTGAAATGCAACTTTAAATAAGATGACTTTTATATTAATAAACTGCTATACTTCAAGCTCTCTTGCACCCCACGCCAAGTTGGTACAACGGATCACCATTACTACATTTTAAACTAATAAAATCAAATTATATAGGAAATAAAAAATCAAACCCAGAGAAGCATTATGCACCTCAGAATATATTTAATTATATTCGATGTTGACTTTTATTTATTTTCTTCTCAAAGTTTCAAAATATGAAATATTAATGCCACGAAGCAATGTATCAGGACAAGATTATGCTGTGTGTGTTCTAAATTAGACCATCCCTTGTGTAATTTTGATACAGCTCCTACTGTCGGCGGGTTTGGCTCCTAAACTCCTGTTCTTTGGCCTGACAATTTGGCTTAATGGTTTCTCTTTATCGACCTTACATTTGTAAATACAAAATAATAATCATAATTAGTATTAAATTATATAAGAAATCAACCAAATATAACTAACCAATATTTAGGTAGACAAATTCAACATAAAATTGGGTCAAGTTCACTCATGATGAGACTTAAACTTGAAACTTCAATATTTCAGACCTTTCCTAGTCCATGCTGCTACTGTGCAGGTCAGTAATCCAGAGGTCGAGCCTAACAGAGATTTCATGTGCTGGAACATCTGGAAATCTCCCCACCAATATATTCATGCATTAAAGGGGAATGTTCACGATCCCTTTTGTTCCAACTGTTTGTGTATTGTCCTTCACATATGTGGCTTTTAAGGCTTCGCTCTCTCCTGCAAGCATCGAGGTGGTCTGCAGGAAAGACCAGAGGTTGGAGAAGGCAAAAGGATGAGAATTTACTGCAGCAACCAGCAGTGTGTTTATGAGTGAAGTGGAAGCTTTGTTGGAAGGAGTTAAGATGGCTGGTAATCTGGCAAAGGCATACTCACTGTTTTTTTCAAACATACTTGATTGAGAAAATCTCGCATCAGTGGTGAAAGATACAATATCCTTCCATTAACAAACGAGCAGGAAATAAATTAGCTACCGGATTGCAAAGTGGGCTATTCATTGACCCTTTGTTGGGTTTCCTGCCCTCTTCATGAAGATGATGTTGGATAGTACAATTGAGGATTTCCCTTTTGGGTTATGAGTATCCTTTAAGTTGTTCTTGATGCAGAGCAGCTGTTATGATCAGCCCTCAGGTAAAATTCATGCATGCTGTGTTTATACAAGTGGTTCGGATCCTAGTTAGGCACAAGGCATCGGTCGCAGTACTAGCATGCACTGTGAGTAGGAAAAAGGACTCGTGCGGTTTTAGTATTATTAAGAGGATTGATAATGTTCTAGCCCATAATAGAACTAAATGAACATCTCATTATAGGGAACTAGGATGCTTCCAACATACTTGAAACACAAACAAACAAGCAGATTAGCCATTTATAGAACCGAGCTTTAAATAGAATTCAAAATTGATGGTCACAGTAAACAACCAGGATATTGGATTTTAAAATAAAAATTCATATCTAAATACCAGAAGACCAAACAGAAAATTGATTAGCACAGCCTCCTATAACAGCTCTCATTCAAACTACTAAATTTCTGGAACAGAGACTTCTCAGTGGGCAACTGCAACCCTTCCAGCTACTTGGTCCAGATCACGTTGGCCATTAGATGTGATTCTCCTACCGCTGATCAACAGGATAAAATTTAAGTTGATGTTAACAGATGACAGATGATTCTCGAAATTCAATAACAATAACTAATAAGAAAAGAAACACAAAAAATTCTTCAGAATAGAAAAAAACGAAACATTGATATCTAACATCGGAATCATTCTGACATGGTCTCGCTACGATCCTAAGAATGCAACACAAAATTTCTTAACGTGATTAGGGTTTAGGTTGTATGTTAAAAGTCATGTTGGATAAAGTTATATCAGAGGTTATGTTCCTTCTTTTTCAGGTCTGCAGTTCAAACATTATACTTTACCACAATTTATTGCTATAAACCTCAGACTGTTACAGGGAATTTATGCACACACATTCATGATGCATGATTCCCCATGATACCAACCCAATTGAAGAATTGCAACTTTGCAAAAAAATAGTCTTATAGGCCCCCAACTAGTCAGAGTTATTACGTCAGCCGAACCCAGTCATATTACATGTATATTTTCCTTCTGAACAAAGAGGCAAATTCTTGAATGATACTAGCTAGATGTTCTCTCATTTACCTTCAACAAATCACTAATGCCAGCAGCAATCAGAAATTATGAAGGAAAACAATATCACTTAAGAAAACTCACCCTTTGGGATCAATATCAATGATGTTCACATTCTGCAATTGCTGAAGAATGTGACGGGCAACAGATCCACTGCTCTTGCAGAAATGGCGTGGGCGACTTCCATTTCTCTTAGCCCCTCCGTAAATCCTCCTAAAGGCACCTACACCAAGACCTCCCCTCAAGTATATTTTCCTTGCCATGGAAGCTACAGAGTAACAGAATATGGGGTCCATGAGAACATAAATACGCAAACAATGGCTCATTCTGCAGATTAATAAGGTAACAAATTCACATACCAGCTCTGATAAAGTACCAATCAGGGTCATAGGGAGGAAGCTCCTTGAGTTTACCAGTCTTCACAATATCAGTCCATGGAGGAAGCTCAATCTGGGTTATTTTTTGTGAGAAAGAAAAAGCAGATCAACAACTTTACATTTACGAAAAACAAACAAGACATGTTGGATTCCACAAGTTCAGCTAGACAGTAGTTGCATCTCTAACAATCAATATTTAGGAGTTAAGAGGCAATTTGTTAAGAGTTGTGAAGTGGGAGGAAGTAAAGAAAAGAAGAACCTTGCCCGACCGCTTGAGATGGGCGGCGTAAGCCTTCACGAAGTCGTGGGGGGAAACGTCCTTCACTGTTCTCGCTGCCTCCATGTTCACTCTTTGTCTGCTTCGGCAGAGATGGTTCCTTGGCTGCTTCGCGAGATGTTTCTTGTGCGGCCGCCGAGGAGGAGAAACCTATATAGGATTCAGAAGGAACTAGGGTTTTAAGCTGCCATCGTGCGTTATCTAAATTACTTAAATACCCCCTACTAGCCACACCCAGAACTTGAAAACGTTTTCCATTTTCATTTTTAATTTTATTTTTTGGAATTGATTTTATTTGTTTGTCCAAAATGCCTTTGGTATCACTATACATTATTTTTTTTATATAATTGAGAAAGAGGAAATTTGAACCCTACTTTTTAAACAAACAGAAAATGCACCAACCAATAAGTCAAAAATGATATTTAAAAATATTTTAATTAAAGGAAATAATTTTAACTATCTCTCATATATGGTTTTCAAATTTTCTAACTTGTTTACTAATTCCATAATTAAACTATTGGAAAAGGATTTGAGTCGAAAAAGATAAAAAGAAGCTATACATCAAGAATTCAGGATGAACTTCTTCCGAGTAAGCATTTGATTAGTTTAATTGTGATTTACAATTAATCAAATTATAAAAAAATTAAAATGAATAAATAAACAAATGATAAACTTTTTTCCTTAATCAAAATTTTAAAATTTGAAACCAAAATAGAGTTTACAATGACTGCCTTTGATACTGAGAAGCTCCTGAAAACGGAGTATAACAAGAGACAATACAGACTTCCCTTATTTTATGAGTCGTTCGGCATGTGGGCTAATGTGACAGGAAGAAAAGAACCATACATGACAAATTCATGTTCTGCTCGTCATTTGCAATCTGTAACAGCTAGGCTGGTACATAATTTTCTAGCATCCACCTTACAAGGAAGGATCAATCGTTTAAAGCATGTTAGTGCTGAGGATCTATGGATGATGGAATTAATTGGAATCCAGTTTGACCTGAATATTGCACAATATGATCATCAGAATGAGATGAGTTACCCTACGGGATGAGACGACCCTACCATATGGAAACATCATATCGGCTCTAGTTAAAAAGAAAGGGATCTAAAGCAATATATATCTAGCTGATTGAGCTAGTCGTTGGCCTCGTAATCTCTCTATTGGATGGCTCCTAAAAAGGGGATATGAGATGAGTGTTGATGAGTCATTCAACTTTGTCGAAGGTAGCCCAGTTCATCTTGCCCATGATACTCCATCCAGTGGTCCATTTAGAGTTATTCCAGATCTTATTTCGAATGATGTGATGTATAATATACTTGTGAGGATTGATGAGAAACTCAGTAACCAAATTGATAGAATGCAGACATTGGAATTAAGGATACATAATGTTGAGAATCTTCTAATGCAAAGAACAAATACAATTGATCATGTAGCAGAAATGTAGTCGAAAGAAATAGTACAGAGATGAGTTTCTCTGACATGAACTTCTAAGAAAAAGGACATTAGTTGTCATTGGTTCTGGCTGAGTCAAACATAACAGATGAAGATTCATATTTTGAGAGTTGTTAGTTAACTGGATTAAGGATACTGTAATTTGTTCGCAAACAATTTGTGGTATATTATTATTTTTTAATTCGCTCAACATGTGGTTTAACTTTCATATGTTCACTCATACTTCTGGTCGAAGATTTAAGGTATTCAATTGGATATTTTGTTATGATGGTGCTTGGGGTTGGGTTATGGTTTGATATTATCCATCATAATTGGCTTACCCTACTTCAAAGAACATGACACACAATAAGCGAGTCACGTAATCCCATATCAAAAAGTCACGTAATTCCATATCAACTAGTCACGTGATTCCATATCAACTAGTCACACGATTTTATAATAACTAGTAACATCACTCTATATATACTACTCACGCGACTCAATATCAACTAATCACGTAATTCCATAATAATTAGTCACACAATTCCATAATAACTAGTCACGCGACTCAATATTTATTACTCACTTAATTTTATAATAACTAGTCACGTGATTCCATATAAACTAGTTACGTGACTTCATATTTACTACTCATGCAATTTTATAATAACTAGTCGTGCGATTCCATAATAACTAGTAACGCCACTCCATATTTACTACTCACGCGACTCAATATCAACTAGTCACGCAATTCCATAATAACTAGTTACGCGACTCCATATTTACTACTCAATCAATTTTATAATAACTAATCATGCGATTCCATAATAACTAGTCATGCGACTCCATATTTACTATTCACACGATTTTCTAATAACTAGTCATTCAATTCCATAAAAACTAGAAACGTCATTCCATTTTTACTACTCACGTGCCTCTATATCAACTAGTCACGCGATTATAAATCTTAACGGTTCACGCGATTTCATATTTACTAGTCACGTGATTCTATATTAACTAGTCACGTGATTCCAAATTTAGTAGTCGCATGATTCCATATCAAATACTTGCGCGAATCAATATCAACTGATGACACGATTCCATATCCACCATTCATGCATTTCAATATCAACTGGTTACAACCTTATACCATGCATTGCAATTCAACATGTCATATAGGCTATAAAGTCAAAGGGTTGGCATATGCAAACACATGAACTCTGGCATGTAAATTGTGTAAAATACTAACAGAATTTAAGAGATGAATAAGAAAAAAAGAATGTTGTTATTAGACCCGTATGCTTATCACATCAATGAATACTGAACTGTTCTTACTGCCCTTCTCTTTGTTAAATGATACAAAAAAGAAATATTTGTAAATAATACAACAAAGAATAATTTGGAGATGATACAGAACAATGTTATTTACATATTGAAAAAGAATGAACAAATTAAAAAATTTAACAAGTGATGCTATTTGCAAAAATCTCCAGTGCAAAAATTTTTCAAAGGTCGTCTATGGCTTTAGCTTTCAAGGTATGATCCTCTGAACCAATCAACTACTACAATGAGACAATAACCCAATTCCCGCAACCGTAGTAATCTTGCTGTATCAAGGTTTTTACATTTAACTTATTCCTCATCCGTGTCAAAGATCGCTTTTGACTACGCGAGCTGACAAAGTACTTAGCTTGATGGCATATAATAGGAAACAATGTTGTTAATGGACTTATCTACTTATCACGCAAGCTGAACTTCATTGCATCTGTTCAACTGTATGATGAGTCAACTAACATCATACTCCAATTCAGCAAGTTGATGTGCATTACCACCCAGTGGCCATCAAAAAAGTAAGGTATGAGAATTGAGTCAACCTCGTGCCATGGCAAACCCCACGGAGGACTCCCATCCCTTGCATACTCAAACACATGGTCTGGCAATACCGCCTTAGTCACCTTGAATGTCTTATCGGTCAGGGGATGCTTCGTTTCTTGGCTTAGACCCAGCAAAATAAGCTGTCCATTACGTTTCGCACAAAATTTAGATGCCATTAACTAATACACACCTTATACATTTGAATAATTACAATTCATTAAATATAATACACACACAATAATTATAATTCACCTCGTTCCTAGGTCCCTAATATTGCTAGTGAATTCCTCCAAGGATAGCCTCGTAGGGATTGACAAAAACAGTCGGTAGGGCACCAAACTTCAATCTTGTCACCATGTAGAACTCCTTAGAAAACCAAGCTTTCGTTTTGCCTATGGCAAACCATAACTCATCCTCGATGGCATCGGGTTCATTGATTTTGCGCAGCATTAAGTTGTGCACGAGACTAATGCAGAATAAACTCTTCTCTAATTTGACATCCATCATATGCCCAAAGCATGTTCTCTTCAACGTGTCCAAGTCATTTACTTTGCACAGCATCTCACTTATCACATGCAAATGTGACCACTTACAAGGGATGTTAATGCCAGCGTTAAACCCCCATCGGTGCCTCAGCACACAAAGTAAAGATTCCACATTATCCTGCTCTGTTCCTGTGATGGCCATCTGCAACATAAAACAGATAACATTCCCATTTTAGTTTAGTTAATACCATCATTATAGATTAACAAAAAAACAAGAGGAATTTCTGAGAAATAGCCCTCCACAGAAGCTCACATCAAAAATGACTCTCATAATAATTTTAACTATTTTTAGATAGCCCTGAAATAGAATAATTAATGCAAGTGTCGAGCATGGATTATTAAGTAAATCGACATATACATATTAAAGCATTACAGTTGACCCAAAATAAGACAAAATGAATGTAATGTCGGTCATGTAATGCCATACAGATAAATTTCATGCAGTTATGACACTCACACAATTTCATACAAAAATAATCACGCAATGCCTTATCGATAAGTCACGCAATTACTAATATTAAATGACGCAATGATCTATAAACAAGTCACTCAATGCTAAGAACAAGTAATCGAACCAGGCACGCATTAAGTGACGCCATGGCGGAACAATATTCACACAATAACCCATCAACCAGTCATGCAATGTTAAACCCTAATGCAATCACGCACAGCCTAAGTGATGCCATGCCTAAATCCAATCATGCTATCACACAATGACCTATCAACCAATCATGCAATGTTAAAGCCTTATGCAATCAAGTACACCCTAAATGGTGCCATGTTTAAATCTAATTATTCTGGCACGCAATGATTTATCAATAAGTCACGTAATGACTTATCAACCAGTCACGCAATGTTAAACCCTAATGCAATCATGCACACACTAACCCCATGCCAAAATCTAATCATGCATAAGGTGCCAACCACGTAAGCAAGCCCTCAGTCATGCAATATCTAAAGCTTAAACCCAATTCCTATCAAAGGGTCATAACGCATACATATCAACCAGTCACGCATGCTCGATCACCTTTCGACCCCAACAATACCACTTTCATATTTATATTCAACAATTTCAAACAATAAGAATATCAATATGAACAAGCAATATGTATAGGTTTATATGCTCAAAAACCATAAATGAAAAACATGAAGAATAACCATTTCTCCACATTGTTCAATATAAAATAAAAATATATTATACCTTTTTCCGCGTAATGTGAATTTCCTCTCATTACTCGATATAAAGCCTAAATCTTTATGCGAATGATAACCACTCCAAAATGCTTCTACCACTACGAAAATGCTCGAAAGTTGAACTGGCGAGGAATGTTTTTGACAGAATTGCTTCTAATAAGATATACAGACTGTCGATAAAAACTGAGGAGTTATGGACCTTATAAACATACTTGACCCTTTAATAGGTTTCGAGTTGAGACACGAAGCCAAATAAATAGGTCGATTCAATTAAAGATAATTTTGTATAAATTTTAATTTTTTTAATTAAAAATTATTTAAAAAATTTATTCTAAAAAATGTCTTATTCATAACGCCCATTTATAAAAAGAACTCTTTGTTTTAGGGCTGTTTGCCCTCCGTTTTAATATGTAAAGGAAAATTTTCAATGTTAGGATAAATTTGTAATTTTCCATGATTACATACATCCAAGCGTGATTTTGGGGTGGGTGGAATTCATCAAAATACTAAAAACATATCACTATCAGGTCAGACCCTGGGAGAAAGGATGGACTTCCCTGCCATTACCATTCAAGAGCCAGCAGGTAGGATGGATCTGCAAGGCCCAGATGATATTCTACTGCAGCATACTGTTGCTCGCATTGAGAAGAAAATGAAGCAGTACCGTCAGCAGACGCACGATCCTGGATCTTACACAATCTGCCCGTTTCCTGATTTCCTTGTTGGCATAGATGATGGGATCCAATCGCCAAAGTTAGCATCATTCGGCCCTCGTCACAGAGGCAAAGATCATCTCCTTCCCTTCGAAAGGCACAAGGATGATTTTCTTTCTAAATTTCTTTCTCGGACGGAAAGTCTGGGAAGAGGCTTGCTCTTCTATGTACGGACACTGATAAAGATCAAGGACAACACAAAAAGATGCTATTCTGAAAAGATTGTTATGCCTCCCGATGATGAGCTTGTTGACATGATGTTGCGCGATGGGGCCTTCGTGGTAGAGCTCTTCCGTGAATATGAAGAGGGTAGCGATGTCACGTGGCCATGGCATGTCCAAACTCTGATTGCAGATCTCCTGAAACTGGAGAACCAGTTACCCTTTTTCCTTCTCCAGGAGTTGTTCAATTGCTCCAACATTGGTCAAGGAGCATCAATCCGCACCTTGCCCCAGCTTGCCTTGAGATTTTTGAACCAGGCCTTCTGTAGCCCTCCAGATATGGTCAACTCCCAAATTCAACACCCCAAGCATTTACTTGACTTATTCCGCTTGAGTCTCCTTCCCTCTGCCAAAACAGACCCACCACAGCAAAGCAAACACCATCCTTTGGTGCATTCAATACAAAGTGTAAAGGAGCTCTGTAGTACCGGAATCACTGTAAGAAAGAACATAGCAAGAAGCCTCTTGGAGATAGATTTCCGGAAATTTCAAATCCCACCATTAGCCCTGAAAATCCCTCCAGTCGCCATAGACGAATTCACCAACACCATCCTGGTGAACTGTGTTGCTCTGGAGCAATGTTTGCCAGATCAGTCCAAACATTTCACCGCGTATGTATGCTTCATGAATTGCCTCATGAAGCGACCCGAAGATGTTGGATTTCTTCGTTCTGTGGACATCATCACACGCGTTTCGCAAGATGAGAAATATGTTATAAACTTGCTGAATAGTCTTGGGAGAAATGTAAGCTTCAGTGTTCGAGATTGGTATCTCTGGAAGCAGCTCCGGGAAATTCACTCCTATTACAACAGCTCTTGGGCATCAATTAGGCGCCATTTGTTTTGCTACAACAACATCATGCTGTATTGTTCTGTCTTACAGATAGCAGTCGGTATCCTCAGCTGGCGTCTTGCAAGGAACTAAGCCGCTTTTTGACTCCCCAAGCACAAGGTAAAGAGGAAATACATTGATTCTCCTTCCTTGGATCTGAATTAATATATCAAAGCTTGCAACCTTGGGGAAGCTTTCAAGTAGCAACAACAGCAGAATTTACGTTTGGGTCCATCAGAAAGGGATGGAGTTGCGTCTTTGTGGTTAGATGTGAGAGATTGGGCTTGTGAGTCAACTCAGCAGAGTTATAATGGAGTTGGCAATTCCGTCTCACCAGCTCTACGTATCGGTTTCACTGTGTTAAAATGTACTAGTACTTTTTATAATATTTGAGTTAGATGGGTTAATGTCACATTTAATGTTATGTGGAATTCTATTATATTCTCGAATGAGTCATATACTCCCTTCTAAATCCTGCTATATGATTTTATAGATTAATACATTGGAGGACCAAACTGCATGAAATTTATGGTCTATTTTGGAATGCCAATGGGTTTTCGATTGCTAAAGAGCAGGCTTAGACCCCATTTGGCAACACAATTTGGGTTGTGTATGATCGCAATTATCAAATCTATTTGCAAACAAAAATATAAAATCTTTCGTTAATAATTTTGATTATGATAAATCTAATTATAACCATCACTTCTAATTACAATGGCTGGAACTGAGTCAAATACCAGACCAATACAGCCCAGATGGACCCATTTCCCTGCATTACCACCTATGACGTCCGCTAGGTGTAATGATGGGAAAATAAACTCGTTTGTGTTTATCACTTGTCGTAATTAGGCAGCAATTTGCTGATAGCATTGAATTTTTTTAAAAAATAAATAATTCAGTCTATATAATTACTGTTCAATTATTAGAATTAAGCAAAAACAAACTGAGCAATTAAAACTTACACCAGAACATTTGATTCATTAATCAATGCACAATCGCTAATCGCAATTATTGACGAATGGCAATTTTGTTAGACATTCATCATCTTATGCAATTTCAGTTCCCTTTAGCAAGCATCTGATGATAGGTTTAGAGGTATTAAACATTCCAGCCTTCAAAAGATAACATACTACCCCAACAGTTATGCTTTATGAGAAGAAAATGCTCCACAAAGAGCAGTCATATAACTCATACGAGTTTGGATTTTCATTATTCCAGATTTGCTTTGTGGGAAGCCCAACTCTTATATGGGACAAGCAATCCAAAAAACACAAATAACTTCGGGTTCTTATACCTACTTTCTTAACCAAACTTCTAGCACACACTGAAATCGCAGCATCGAATAGCAACAGCATATACCTCTCTAATTATTTAGTTGCGGGTTGCTCCTACCAATGCGATGTGCTCTATTAGGTCAAGTACTCGGTTGCTGTAACAGAATTTTAACAAAACCATCAGACATGATATATATTTTGTGTTAGAAAATACAGAAAATTAGCATCAGTATGGTGCTTGTCTCTGTATGCCTGTACGTGCATTGGGTGCTGTATGCATGCATGAGTCATGAAAGTGTCAAAGTGTGTGCCAGTGCATGTGTACATGCACGCACGCGCATGTGTGGGTGTGTGCGCGTGGGTGAGAGACGTGAAAACATACCTGTAACCCCACTCATTGTCGTACCATGAAACAAGCTTGTGGAAAGAAGCACTCAACCCTATTCCAGCTTTTGCATCAAATATGCTCGACCTGAAACAAAACAAGCCCATTAGAACCATAAATGCCATCAATTAAGAAATAGGAAAAAGCACATCCATTAGATTTTATAATTAACAGATAACTAAATCTAAATAAAGCAAACTTGAAAGCCTTCAAAAATACAGCAATACTAAATAACCCAACTGAATATTAGGTATAACAGCAAGCATTATTTCTCAATTAATTAACACTCTGTGTAAGCAGAGCCTAATCCACAAACACACTAGGACCTTTTCATGCCTAAATATACTCAAAATGCTTCCAAACCTCCAAACCTCATAGGATTTAGACAGTATATAACATCACAGTGAAAGGCAAATGTGGGATGGATGCGTACAAAAGAGAGGGGAGTACCTTGAGTCACCAACAAAATCATTAGAAACAACATCATCATCTGTGTATCCAAGAATGCCTTTAAGTGGCCCCTCTGCAGCATACCTATATTTAAAAATTAATGAGAATCCGAATGAATGTGAAATACACTTAATTAATAAGAAAAAATATCAAAATAGAAACCAAAAGCAAAGAAATCAGAATGGATGAAGAGTAAGGAAGGAACAAGGAGGACACTTAAGCCAAAGTTAGAAAACTCACTTTATTGCTGCTTTCACATCTTCATAGGAGGCACTCTTCTGAAGTCGACAAGTTAAATCCACAACAGAAACATTGGGTGTGGGGACTCGGAATGCCATTCCAGTAAGCTTTCCATTGAGTTCTGGAAGAACTTTACCAACAGCCTACAAGAAAAACACAGGAATCATATTTTAATTTTAATTACAATTAAAGTTTGTATCCCAAAACCTGTGCTTGAATTATGTATCTGGCTATTTCTATCCCATACCTTTGCAGCACCAGTTGAACTAGGGATGATATTTTGCCCAGCTCCTCGACCTCCTCGCCAATCCTTCATTGATGGGCCATCAACAGTCTTTTGCGTAGCTGGATATTTAAAGCTACCACATTATTACAAAAATGCAACATCATGTGCTATGCGAATAAATGAGGGGAACATGATAACCAGATACCTGTAGTTGCATGGACAGTTGTCATTAAACCCTCAGCAATACCAAATTCCTCATGAACCACCTGCAACCATGTGATCACAAAATCTAAGGTAAAAGCGAACCAGATGCTTCGTGTGGAAAATGGCCAGATGATTAATACTGACAAATACGGACAGATGGAATTGTCAACTGCAATGAACTCAAAACATACACAAGCAAAATCTTACAAATTAAACACAACCCCCATGCTTAAACTCCTAACAAGTGACCAGTAACCCTTAATAGAAAACAATAGTTCAAATGCCCTTTTCACTGATAAGATTAGTATAGCTTAATATCGCAGGATGCGATCATACCTTGGCAAGAGGAGCAAGACAATTGGTAGTGCAGCTAGCATTAGAAACTATGTCCATGCTTGGCTTGTAGGTCTTCTCATTTACTCCAACCACAAACATAGGTGCATCAGCTGAAGGAGCTGAAATCACAACTTTCTTGGCACCACCCTATAAAATACATTCATGAAAGTTCAATTTAGAGCCTTTTAAGAAGTGCATACTGCTTGAGCCATGTGTTTGTGTTTGTGTGATCATACTGAAAGGCAGAAAACTTAGAGACAACTAACCTTCATATGTGCTGATGCCTTAGCTAATGTTGTGAAAGCACCAGATGACTCAACAACATACTCAGCCCCATAATCAGCCCAAGGGATCTCCGCAGGGTCCCTGGTGGATGTTATTTAAACATTATCTTGAGTTGGGATAGTTTAATAGCAAATTTTTAATGAAATTCAATAACAGGATTTTATATGAAATTGGTAAATTTTATGTCATGAGAATTATACATGCTTACAGAAGCTAGTTCAAATTCCAATCAATCACTCAAGGACAATCACTCTCAGAATAATACCTTTTGCTTGCAACCTGTATTTGCTTGCCATTAATTTCTAAGGTGGAATCATCCACAACTCTAATGGTTCCCTTAAAGTTTCCATGAGTTGAATCGTATTTAAACATATAAGCCTGCATAAGAAACAAAAGATAATAGTAAATAACAACAATTTTTTAGTGCTAGGGGTGGTTATCATGGCATATAATGAATAGAGCAGACAAAGAGTTTGTCCTCCTACCCCCAAACACAAACACGCACGCACACATGCACACACACAATAAGGAAACAATAACAATTAGTGTCTATATGGATTGTTGGTACATCTAAAGTAACTTTGATTGTGACTCCAGGAGAACAAAAAAAGGAAATTTTTTGATATCACAAGAATCAACAGACAGAAGCATACGTATTTCAAATTGCAATTTAATGCTTCCAAATGTGCAGAGAACAAGCAATAAGTACATGTCAAACCATATAAACAGTCAAGCTACCAATTAAAATTAAAATATGCTGCTCAGACAACCAAACAATGTCAAAAGAAATAAGAAATAGAAGCTAGCCTTTAATGAAAGAGAAAAGTCACAAATAGCTAGCCTTGTTGCTAAACATAAATCAAGCTCATCTTAAGCTTAATTTAAAATTCATGAAAATTTTACTTTTAGTGATTATATTCTGACTTAGCCATTCACAAAAAATAACAAAATATAAACTAGACTTTAATGAAAGGAGTGCAATATCTCAAATAACTAGCTTTCTCACTAATTGAAAATCTAGATCCATCTTGAACTTGATAAAGATTTATGGAAATTTATCTCTTATTGATTATATTGGCAACAATCTGGCTAAGAGAAATCATGGGTACTAAGAATATACAAGTCTTTTATACATGGCTGCCACAACTACTAAATAATGCTGTTAAATCTATCAAGTCTCTATATCAAGGCAATGTGTTCTAACTGATAAAATGCACACAATTACCATGTACTTAGCATCAACAAAAGGATCATTGACTGCTACGACATCAATATCATCCCTTGTAGTTGCTACTCGCAGAACCAACCTTCCAATCCGACCAAAACCTGCAAAGGTTCATTGTCAAAAATGAGTTGTTACAAGATACATTGTGCTAAGGAGAGCAATAGGAACTTCTGCACTAAGGTATACTTCTTTGGTTTTGGACTTGTAGGACTTACAACAAATACTTTGATGGAATTCTAATTCTATCCCATGCTTAGTCCCACATACTTACGAGGCCCACCCAGCAAGATCCCTAAAATGATTTTAGCTCCACCTACCTCAAAATAAGGTTCCGAAGCACATGCCCCACAACAACTGAAGTAAAGGTCAAAAGCTAATTGAACCTTAACAATGTTATAATGTATCAGAACAGTAGTGTAAGCATCAGTCTGAGTTCCAATTTGAGCAAATATAACTTGCGTAAATTTTTAACTGTATATATTGTAATAATAAATATGAACTGCAGCTCTTCACAATTTTTTTTTTCCCAGGACGGGCTGGCTACCTCAGTCTAGGATACCTATACAAACCCCCGTCCACACTTACCACATGAGCTAAGCCTAGGCTAGTTCTCTGCTATTTTGCAAGCATATTGATCACAACTCAAATACGCACACTAACTGAAGTTAAATCATTTTCTATGGAGATTAAATTAAAAAAACAACATGGTGTAGATACACACAACTATCAAGAAAAGAAAAGCACAACTTTAATCATAATAAAAAAGCATACCATTGATTCCAATCTTTGTCTTCCCAATGCTCCGTGACTCTAAACAAATGAGAAAT